AACTACGGACGAATATTATGTTTGCATAGGCTAGACGACTGCGTCATATAATAAGTGAATATTGCTGGCGCATTGATAATTCCTGTGATATAACCAGCGACTCACAAGGCAGCTCGCAAAGTGTATTTACAGCAGTACAAAAGACAACACAGTTGCTCATGAGCAGTAGTTTAATGCCTACTATAGCTATGAGTACCGCAAGTGACTATATTTCAGCACATCCTTCCATTAATTGTAATTCGCATCAAAATAGTGCTTCTTATAAGCATGCACAATTTGCCGCTTGGTATCACCTTTTCTTCTGACACAGAATGTCAGCATTAAGTGAGGGATGTCTCACAGGAGTCAACAGTTATCAATTGCTATTGACCGTCCAACTCTTGGACCACGACATACCGTTGCTACTTCCAGTCTGAGACGAGCTGAATTCTGAACTGCGACTTACGATTGCTTTTCAGTGTCTCTATACATCTCATCCTGAGATTATTACATATTTTGTCTTTCGAGCTTTGCCCCTGGTACCAGGCAATATCCTCCTGGTTAGATAATCGTAACAATCTCATTTTCAGCACAAAGCAATTGTAGCTGTCCCCTAGCCCTCTTAAGTGCTTCTTAGCAGAGACAGATCTCACGACCGGCTTATCTGCTGTCAGGACATACGTGGCACTCAACTCTTTTTTGTGCCCCGGTCAATCTATGATTTATGGTACTCAACGCCCTACCTATGGTAAGATCCAAACCTTGAATCCTGGTATTGGATGATACAGCGCTCTCCGCGTAGCCTAAAGAATCAGCACAACGTTCGACTCTCTTACGAGTGTCCCTGTTGCGAAACACACCATATCCGTGCACTTTTAACAGGTAAAGCTTTGGATATAAGCGTCAGTTCTCAAATACACACAAAGATTTGGTTCGTATTCTTTTACCAAAAGCGTACCCAAAAGAGCAAAACGAATCTCAGTGTGTTTTAAACCCTGCTATTTTTTTATTTAAACAGCGCATATACTTAAATATATGCGCTAATACTAATTGTTATCCAGACTAATACTATATATAAGTGTTAATATCTTTCAAATCAAACTGTCAATATTCTCTGATATATGGCTAGCAACTTGCGCAAAGCTCGGATCCTTCCATTTTAATCATTTTATTATAACGATATGTCGGTACCTATACAATCACCACAAAACCATTACAAGTACACCGAAGTGCAATACGATTTTACAACTTGAGCAAACGTTTAAGATGAAAGAACACAATTACGATTTTTACCTCGTGACAGTCACCGTATCTCTAATACTTTTAGTACTGCTTTTCACTTCAGACAGCCGCGGGTCGTACGAAATTGCACGATGCTGTTCAATTTATCGGATGTGCGGC